GGCCCCCTCACGGCCCGCCGCCCCTCAGCCGGCCCCGGCCCCAACAGGCGCCAACAAGAATAGTGTTAAGGGGTTTTATTTGGCAGAGTCTTTTGCCTGACACGACTCGAGTTGTTTTGTGACATCGCAGCAAAGGGCATACAAAGAGCAAAAGGAGGTTTAGTTCAGGCCTTGGGAAAAATGCAAAAACATGAAACAATTCTAAGAACCACGGCACCGTATATAAAATGTGAAATAATTCACAGTACACTTAACTGTGCTTATAATATACTTGAACAATATATTCTGAGTCTTCCTCATTTTCTAGGAGGAGGTAGGGTCAACAACACTTAGAAAGGTATTTTTTCCATCACCTTACACAACTGCAATTAGCGGTCTAAAAACACGTAGCATCTTCAAATACTGCAGCATATTTTAAAACAAGTAAAACAGTAAGGATTAAACCCTCAGAAGTCTTGCTGAATGTTCTCCTTGTTTGCTTCCCCATGCTGTTGTTTGATCTGTGAAATTTCATTTTCTAGCTGCACAATAGTTCGTTCAATCTCATAATTTTTACTGACAAGAGACACCCATCTGGAAGAGAATAAAAACAAAAAGCCTTTAAGTGGTATTTGCGCTTAAACAATCCCCCTTTTTAAAATCAGAGGAACACGATAGTTATTGATTCAAAAAAAAGTGAAGACGCTAAATACAAAAGTATTTTTCTCAGTAGATAATAAACCTCTGTTGACATCAATGGTAATTTGGACAACTAAAGCGACAAAAGTTAAACCTTAACTCTCTTAGGTTAAGGTTTAGCTTAGCTCTGTTAAACCTTAACATACAAAACTTCACATACTAGGTTATAAGGAAAAAAAGGCTCAAAAACATTGACTTCCAATATTTAGATAAAGAAGGGTTTAAGAAACAATTTACACAGGCAATTTCAAGGACCTAATATGCCCTACTTCTCACATCTGTTGCTCACTGTTTCATTCAACCACAATAACTATTATGTGGAACTGAATCATGCATCCTTTAAAAAAACTTTGTATGGAGAACTAGTATTCCCGTGAAAACATCTTATGAGAGCACTGAAAGACTATTGACGTTCTCCAAGAATTTCACACAAAAGATATACTTATGGAAGATTTAAAGTAAAAATTCTAGATACTCACGTAGATTCCATTTCTCGTAGCTTAGCCCCAGCCGTGAGCTGCATGTTCTTTCGTTGCCAGTTCAGATCTTGAATGTTTTTCCTGAGGGAGAAAAGATTATATTCTTTGCTTTCTTTTTTTTTTTTTTTAATTTGTAAGATCTACTGTTAAATCTTGAAATACACCTAAACCCTAGAAGTACTACCAGAAAGCACTTGTGTAGCCAGGATCCTAACTACCACATACAGATGGAAAAAGCCTAGTACAGGGCTGCACACAGAACCACAAAATAAGTTTAAGGAAAAAAAAAAATTAACATCCTACTATGAACAAAAGTTCAAAAACTCAAATCTTCTGCTACAGCAGGAAATGCAAAAGCTGGCCGAGCCCAGAGCCCAGCAGCTCTGTTTTGTTCTCTCTGGAAAAGGTCAGAAGAGCTAAGCTGATCTGCTAACCATTCACGATATCCAGTAATTCAGTGAAGCACCCGAGAAGTGCCGAATACTTCCAACCACTCAGGAGACCAAATTAATTTTAGTTCATGTTGCTAAAGCTCTTATTCTGTTAGCCTCCTTTTTCTGCCTCAGTGTGTTCCTTTAGCCTTTCTCAACTCAGGAATCCTCCTTCTATCGACTCTCGCACTGATTCCCGCACTGATTCTGTCCAAGACGCTAACTCCAGCTAACCCAAAGAAGCAGGTAATGATAAAAGATACAACTTGCTATGCAACCTGGTTTTCTATGCACATCTCAGTATGCAGTCCCATCTTCAGGTTGAAGATACTGAAAATTACAGTAGTTCACCTGAATCCGAAAGCTGAAAAGCTCTTATTTGCATAGTCCATAGCATCCTGCCTAAATAAAATGAGTTACTAACGTGCACCACTTTGATATCCTACTACTCCATCAGTGAGCAATCCCTGTCTATTAACTCATTAAAGCATTCACTTTTAATTGAGAGGCCAAACTTAACCTCAGCCAGCATGTCTCCACTGAGACAACTGCATACCAAACAAAGGTCTATTAACAGTGAAAACAAAACACGACGGAGTTTGAGAGAGGATCCCACCACAATTCATTCTGCTCGATCCTCCACAATTCATTCTGCTCGAAGCAGAGGTTCACACACACACACACACACACACAAGGCAGAACAGGTATTATAAAGATAAGTCTGGGGCGGGGCAGGGGGTAGACCCCCCCCCACTTACTATTCTAGGTCGTCTTTCCTGACAGTGGCAGCAGCATACACACAAGCCTCTCTGCGTAGCTACAGGAGGAATTCGTATTCCTTCCATCTTCAGTACAAGACTATGAAAAACAATGACTCACCTCAACTTCTGAAGTTCTTTCTGGGCTTGTTCTATCATATGAACCAGGTGCCTAATAGCAGAACAGTAAGTACAGTATGAGGAAAACACATATTCACCCATTTAACCTACCGTTTAAATCTTCAGAGTTAAGCAAGGAACAAGCTGGTAACAGTGCAAATATCAGACAATCTGTTCTCAGTGCAGTCTGTGCTCTTCACTCCCGAGGAGCATGACACGTAACACCTCAACGCTTCTGTAGTAATATACGCAATTTAAGACATAAATCTTCAATAATTACCACGTTCACCCCTTGCTATCAGATAATCATAACATAAAGCTAAATCCATCAGTTAATCACGTTCTACCTTCAAGCTTCTCACTGAATACTTGTGCTATTCTGATTAGAATACTGTTGAAACATTTCATTACCTCATCACCAAGTAATAAAATATGGTCTTCTAATTCTATTAGGTCTTAAACTTACCTGTAACCAATTTATATCATTTTTTTCCCCTCATATATTGTCAGAGCACAAACAATTCTTTTTCTCTCCCCAGCATATTTATAAAAGTTAATGTATCCTCTTCCTGTCTCCTTTTTCCCTAAGCTAAACAAACAACCCTTTGCTTCCTCTCAGAAAGCTACATGTTCCTTTTGCCTACACCTTAATTGAAGCTTAAGCTAACTCTTCTTAAAAACAAGTATTAAAAATCCCTGCCTGAAATAGCCTAAATGATTCCTCCAGCCCTACTTTCTAGAGCTCTATTCAGCTTTTGCCACAGCTTTATTTCACAAATGGCTCCAGGCCAAACAGGAGTGGTAGCACATCTTGGTTTCCAGCTGCTGAATTACCATTTTAAAGATTGTTGCAAGTTGGTTCAGCTATCTGCAATATAAGTCCAAAAGCAACCAACTGCTACCCAAGCAATAACTCACGAAATTCAAGACTTAAGATGTACTGAATTTAAGAGGTACAGGCTATTTCTAGGCCACGAAGGCTATTTCTAGGCCACGAAGGAGGGCTCCTCAGATCACAGCTGTTTCTTGCACGTAGAGTTTTCTCAGAGGAATTCTGCAGTGGTTCCAGGATATGTTCATGAGATTCTCGTTGTAGTTACACAGAAAAGCATGAGGAACACATGGAAAGTGAAGTTACAGCTGTAAGCAGGTTCAACAAAGCAGCGAAACACCTTACTCGTTGTAGACCTTCCAGGCATTGCAGCCGTGCTGAGACATGAGCTCCAGGTTCTCGATGCGGACGGCCTGGTGCTCCAGCTGCGCCATGGAGTTGTTGACGCACTCCTGCCAGGCCGTGATGTCGTTCTTCTGCCCGGAGGAGGGGGCCGGCAACTCGTACCTGCAACGCACCGCGCCGCCC